TTTCATTAATTCAACTTACATTATTTTTTTTCTTTTTTTAATTTGTATTTTTATATCAAAATTAATCTTTCATTTTGTCTATACCAGTTATATATATATACATATATATATATTATTTTTAATGAACGTACGCGTATTAAAATTCACCCATCGTCATCGAACAATGTTACAATTTTGATCTGAAACAAGTTTTGTTCTTTTTTTGGTAATTTTTATATATATATATATAATTATTTTTGCTAACGTTAAATTTATTGGAAGATTATAAAATACAAAAGAGGATTAAAAAGTATTATTATTATTATTATTGAAAGTAGTAGTAGAGATATTTTCTCAAATAAATATTTTAAATGTAAAACAAACATCGGGTTTCCCACTCGGTATTAAATATATACAAAAAAAAAACATTACTGTTCAATACAATTATTAATATTAATTCAAATTAATACGCCACCCCCTAAATGCCAATTATATCAAAACAAAAAAAACAAAAGTAAAGAAAAGAAATAAATAATAAATAAAAATTTCTCAAATCTCGCGAACAATCGTAACGAAACAAGAAACGAAGATCCCTTTAGTATTATCAAGGAAAGACCTTGTAATTTACGCATCTCTGTAACGGCTTCGAAAACTTGCCTAATTCCTTAGCCGCTTACGTGCCGGTATGTACTGAGGAAACTACCAAAAGTTCGGACATATATCGGCGAATTTTACTTCGTGGGGTGTAGGAGTGTAGGGGGGTGGGAAAGGGGGGGGGAGAGAGAACTGTATTAAGGGTGGTGGTAAAATACGCGTTTCACCGATGTTAACTGGGCAAAATATATCGTCTAAATTTGGCCGAACGTACCAAGGAAGTTAACCGAAGTCCGATAAATAGATAATACCTATGTATAATACGTACCATTCAACGTGTTTCCCATCTGACTATGTATCGCGTGCTTTGGTGCTTTGACTTATATCGTTTAGAAAATCAATCTATCGAAAAACTTTCGGTTATTCTGATTGAAAAAGAAAAAACAAAGAAAACATTTATCGATGATTTAAACGTATAAGCCCCCCCCACCCCACTCCTCCCCACCCCTGCCCCCCTCTCTCTCCTATTATTCTCAAGGGGGAATAATAAAATCGTAAGTTTTGTTACGAATTTGAATAAAATAATGAATATAGAATTGAAACGTGTGTAATGTAAAACAACGATGCGTAAATAATAAAATAGAAATATGTGTGATAAAACTATGCGCGAGATGAACAAAAAAAAAAGAAATACAAATATATATATATATATATATATATATATAGATTGGTACGAATTTAAATAAAATAATAAATACAATTCGAGACGGAATATAATACAACGGATGCATAAATAAAAATTGAAATTTGCGTGGCAACAAATCTATTCGCGAGACGAACGAACGAAAAAATAGGAATATAAAAAAGAAGAAAAAAAAAAAAGAAAATACGCGAATGAAAATAAAAAAAAAAAAAGTAAAAATAAAAACAAACATATATAATAGATTTGTATATCGATTCGAATAAATACGAGAAAAAAAAAAGAAAAAAAAAAACAAGGGGGGACACGGAAGAAAAAGAAAATCAATTCTCGACGAGAGTAAAATATTATCGTACGATATTGAAATGATATGATATAGAAGAAAGATATAATAAAAAAAAAAAAAAAAAACATAACTAAGAGCTTTTTCCTATTGAATTCTAAACGCGTTTAGACGATCTCATCTTTTGTGCACACCCGTTGTGTACTAGCATAGCGAGCAAATATAAGATATATAATGCATACGTATATATATATATGTGTAATATGTTTATACACACATACATATATATACATTCGATTCGCGTTTAGGATTCCGTCGATGCGGTCCTATTTATCGGCGTTTATTCCGCATAAATGGGTGAATTTTCAAGACGTACAAGCCGATACGGGTAGGTATTCTCGCGTGACTAGTGCACAACTTACCTACCTACCTACACTACCTACCTTACCTATACCTACCCACCTACCTTATTCGTAGACGCATAAAACGTCTCGATATTTTCATGAAAAATACCTGCAAGTCAAGAACGATTGAGAAAGATAAATATTTCTTATAGGAACGCGCTAACGCGATATCGATCAAAAAATTTAAAATACTCCTTATTACTTATTCGCGTTCGCGTGTATACATTTTTAAAGAAAAAAAAAAAAACAATTACAAATGTAATATATTATACATCTCGTTGTAATATTCAAATATGATATTTATATATTTATTTATATATATATATATATAATTCGAATTTTTGTTTTTACTTTTTTATTCTTTCTTCATTTTTATTTTTCTTTTCTTCGCGCATATTAGCAAAAAAAAAAAGAAAATTAATTCAAATTCATTCGTCTGTAAGAAAAAGTCACGAATATTATATTCGATATTATGATTATTACTATATACATACATATAGTATATATATATATATGTTTGATATGTACACGGTTATCGACGATCGATCGCAAAACACTTTTTTTCACCTTCGTTTTATCGATCACACCCGGTACGTACGAAAAGGCAAGGCCGTCGTCTGACTGTGAGTACGCGTGAAAGCAGTTTTAAATAATTCGTACATGTAAATCTTTATGAGATAGATATATATATACCTACTATATATATATATATATATATACATATTGTATATTTATTGTATGTATATATATATATATATATATACACATTTAATATAATACATACACACGCGCGATGCATGAAGTATGTCAAACGTCCCGTAGCATGATCTCTCTCTCTTTGCACGTATTCGTTTGTCAAAATGCTATTCTCTATGTAGTATTTTAAATGTACCATATAGTAATGCGTAGAAACGCGCACACAAATGCACACATATACGTATATCAATTTATAGAATAGATATGATAAAGTATTCGTTAATATATGATTCCGAATCTGGAAGAGTATTATATACAAAAAAACATTAAGTAATGAAATATATATATATATTTATATGTGTGTGTGTGTATGCGTAATACAACCTATGTGTGACACACATTCCTGCAACTCGTTCCTTCCGCGTTGTTAATTACTTATATACACGTGTAATATATCCATACGTGTATTATAATTTTGTACCTATAATAATATTTTCGCGTCGCGTAACACTATTTTTCCTTGAGAACGTTGACGTCGAATGAACAAAATCTTTAAACATATGCAAGTTTCTTTTCTTTTTTTTTTTTTAAAAAAACAACGCGTAAACTTCAGTTATTTCGATGTTTATCAAAAGAAAAAAGAAATTAACTTTGTATCTTCCCTTCCTTTCTGTAAAAAAAAAAAAGAAATAAAAATATATTGCAAAATGTACATAATTATTTTTTTTTCGAAAAACAACAAAATCTCATTAGGGGCACGATTTAGTTTCTTCCTTCTTTTTTTTTTTCTTTTTTACGTATATCACCAGTTACAACAAGACCACCCTGTGTACGTAAACGTAACCTGATCGGTACTGAATTTGATAAACGGAACTTTTATTTTTTTTCTTTCCTTTTTTTTTCTTTTTTCGTGTAAAGATCCGACCATCTTGAGAATTTTATGAAGCCCCGTTGTTTCTTGTTGAATTTTAAACCTCGTCTCGAGTTGCAATGATGTTGGGTCACGTGAAGAGTACTAGAAACCTTTTCCTAGAGAGATCAAGTAAGCACCGGCGAGTGAATAAAAATAAAAAAAAAAAAAGGAAGACGAAAAGAAAAGAAAAGCGAGAAAAAAAACGACAGAAAGAAGGTGAGATAAATGATAGAAAAGAAATGTAAGAACGAAGGAAAGGAAGGAAAGAAAAGGGCGCGGGGGGTGAGGGTGGGGGTGGGGGGGAATGGGGTTTGAAAAGTTGGAAAGACAGTTGTGTAACGATGTACGAGATGATAGGGTTTGAAGTAAACCAATAAAGAAACCGACAAGAAGTTACGATAAGGGGTTGTTTTTTTTATTTTTTATTTCTTTTTTTTCGAGTAAAACGTCGACGTCAACGATCTCGATTTGTTTTTTTTTTTGCATTTCCTTTTCCCACTTTATCGGCCGTACCGTATCTTTTTCGCATAGCTACATTTCGTTTATATTCCAAACGCCCCCACACCCCCCCCCCAACCCAACCACCTTACCCCTTACCGTTTAAAAAAAAAAAAACGACACCATCCAACAGAACGTTTTCACACCCACAGCCTTGAATATAAAGAAAAGAGATAAATAGAATGAAAAAAAAAAACATAGAAAAAAAAAAAAAAAGACAAAGAAAGAGATAAAGAGGAAACTTGACAAGGAGGACCACCCCCCTAACCGAACGAAGTCTCGTCGGTGGGTTTGTTTTTTTTTCCCTCCTAGATCGACGTTTTATCTTCTTCTGCTTCTTCTTCTTTCTCTTTTTTTTTATCTTCGTCCAGTCTCTTTCCCCCGAAACCCGCCCCCAACCCCCGCAGCATTTCACGATCGAAAAATACTCTGTCTCTCGTAAAGACGCTGAGAATTTCCTTTATGCTTCCCCCATCACCACCAGACCCCCTACCCCCTGCCCCAGTTTGTAATAGAAAATACATATATATATTTATTATGATGCTGAAATAACGAGAATATATTGAAGAATTAAAATATAATCTTTCGTATTATATTATATATTATTGTTAACACAAAATAAAATGAATAAAAATGTTTCTATATTATTTTATCTTATATTTCATATATTATTTCAATTAATAATAATATTTTTAATTGTTATACGTTGTGCACTTGTTTAATATTATTACAAGAAAAATGTTTTCAATCTAATTAATATTATTATTTTATTTTATATTAATTATTATATAAAACATTGTATAAAATTTTTGATATATAATACGTTATCTAATAATAATAATAAATAAATATTCTCGTTGTTTCGGTATAAAAATAAATAAATGATCGGCCATATATAATTAATCGAATAATTCGTATCTATCCGTATCACAGGACTTTACGTTGGATTTTTACTTCCGGCAATTCTGGACGGATCCACGACTTGCCTTTACGCAACAGAAGGGCGTCGAGACGCTAAGCGTCGGCTCGGAATTTATCAAAAATATCTGGGTACCGGATACGTTCTTCGTGAACGAAAAACAATCATACTTTCACATCGCTACCACCAGCAACGAGTTCATTCGTATTCACCATTCCGGAAGCATCACACGTAGTATACGGTAAGTACCCTTATTTTATAACACATTAAACCCTTTAATATATACTGATATTTCAAAAGAATTTGCGAAATTTTTATTACGAGATGTAAATTATTCAAGAAAAATTATAATCGAAAAACCTAAGAAGAAGAAGAAGAACAACAACAACAACACGAGATTATTTTGTTCTTTAAATCGTAAACATTCTTTTCCAAAAGATTATACGCCCGGAAAAAAAACATCCTCCTTATGAAATTTTATTTAATATTCCGTACCTTGCGTATCCTCCCTATGGGGTAGAGGAAGGGAGATTAAGAATTTCACAATCCTACACTGAACAATTTCTATTCTTTCCTTTCTGTTTTTCTTTTTCATGAAACAATTATTTCTTACAAAGAAACTAACGAATCGAATACATTAATACAATTTAAGTAAGATTAATTATTTAACACTATTTCCACGTCACAACGTTACATTAAAAAAAAAAAACAAGAAAAATAATCCTGCACGATAAAAGAAATAAAATAAAAATAACCAACAAAAAAAAGTAAATGAATCATAATAATAACAATAATAACAAAAGTAGTATACCTGAAAAATATTTCACAATGAACGATTCCTTTCGGAAAATATTCGTCATGGATTTAATTGAATCGATTCGTTTCGATTGGCTGTTAAAGATAGCCAGCCTCCCATCGTAGTTAGGTGAACGATCCTGGTGTGTCCTCGAGATACCAGGAGATTCCCTAAACTCCCTTGAGCTTTCCAAATGCATAGGTTCTCTTCTCCTCGTCCCCTCCCCCTATTTTTCCTTCCCTTTCCCCCTTCTATCGTCCGTTCGAGATGGCCTGTCGTACTTTGGGGACCAATTGTACCAACCAGGACAAATTTGTTTCCCTGTCTCGTTCTCTACCCTGCCTATATTCCCTTCTTTTCCACCCTTGCAACCCCTCTTAGGTATCGTTTCACTGTATCTACATTCTCTCTCTCTCTCTCTCTCTCTCTCTCTCAACCATCTTTCGAGCACCCAAGAGTCCTTCGTTATTAACACCACCACCTATATTCACAGGAACCATGCATATCTAACTTGACTAAGTATATCTTGTTACTTCCTACAATTATTATACTCTTCCTTTGTTTTATATTATTATTTTTTTAGTAGTAGGTTTTATTCATTTTTCTTTACTGTCGAATAATTTGATTCAAATGTTTCAACCCTATCGTGCAATCCTATTTTTATTTTTGTTTGTTTGTTATTTAACATGTTTGTACATCTAATTTTGACTAGTCTTGTTATTTCCTGCAATTATTATATATTATACTTCTTATTAAAATAATGAAAAAAAGGTTTGCAGTAATAAGTTATCGCTCGTTATATTGTAACTGACTGCATAAAATAATTAAAAAAAAAAAATAATTTGCACAGAGTACCATAGAAATCTTTATATTTATATTTGCAAAACATTGTATACGATAATTATAATAATTTTTATTTGTAATTATTTTCCTTTCAAATATTTTTATAAATATAAAAGATAAAACTTGTGTCGGTAGGTAGGTATTCTGAAATGAAAAAAACAAAACAAAAACAAACAAACAAAAAAAGAGATATATATTATAAATTGTATTGATTAATATACGATAATAAAAATATATTTGTTTCAGTTTAACGATTACGGCATCGTGTCCAATGAACTTACAATACTTCCCGATGGATCGTCAACTATGTCATATCGAGATCGAGAGCTGTAAGTATGCAAAAGCGAGACAAAAATATACGAGAACACACGTGCGATTATTATTATTATTATTATTATTAAAAAATAGAGGAAAAAAAAAAAAAAAAAAAAAAAAAAAAAAAAAAAAAAAAAAAAAAAAAAAAAAAAATAAAAAAAAAAAAAAACAAATACCTTCGAAGAGAGACCATCAACTCGACGAGAACTCTTCTTCTTATCGGTCAAGATCTAATCACGATTATGCTCTTCACACGCAGGACCTCGATAGGACGAGCACACCTCTAAAAAGATATTTTCGAATAAACGATACTCGACTTCCATGATGACTTTTTATGGGGTTTCTCGTTTTTTTTTCTTTTGAAACTCAACCTAATTGCTTAAAATGAATTATAATTCTTTATCGATTTATTTTCATTCCAATGGAAGACGATTGTTGTTGATCGAATACGCGAATCTTTTTAATAAAAAAAAAGATTCAATTATTCTCTTACAAGAAACATCAGTGAGGTATTCATCTACGATCTTGACGGGATTAAAATGCAAGCAAATAATTTGGTAGGTTTAATAAGCCTATTATTTTTTTTTTAATCGAAATTTATTTTTTACAAAATATAATTGACGATTTAAATTTGAAGAAACGAATTTTGAGATATATTACTCTTATACTTATCAATAACATCAAGATACAATTTAAAAAAAATATTTATATATTATTATTATTATAATATATATTATATGTTATATTATATATATCTTTCCCTATTATTCTCGTCAAGTTTTCATCTTAAATCTTACGAAATATCGTCAAAAATCGTAAACGAACGATCTCAAAGATGTTTCCTTGTTAGACGAACTCTCGAGATACTTTTGCTTAAAAAAATTTACGCGTATAATAATAATACTTCAAATATTTTTACTTACACATATATATATATATATATTATAAGAAAAACATTACACTACATAGACACAATCAACTAATTTAACTTAATCACGTTTACACGAGGAATATATTAACATTATTATATAACATTACCCCCCTTACTTCCACCCCAATCCCGTGTAATCTAATCACGTACACTTAAAGTAACAAAACTTGTCTCATTTTTATTACCCTATATTATTATTTTATTTTTTCAACGAATATAAGTATTATTGTATATTTTTCTATATATATATATATATACAGACACAACAAACATATACGTTGAAGAAACCATTTTCCACGATCATTTTTATCATTTTTAATTTATCCAACCCATCTTAAACCATTTATCTGTCAATCTACCTACCTACCTACCTATATATCTATTTATCTATCTATCTATCTATCTATCTGTCCGTCACGTGCCACTACACACGCTCACCGACACACGATCGGTCAAATCCAATATGTGAAGGAAGGAGAGTCGCAAGCTCTCATCATCTCTGTCTCCTTCACTCGTTACGATTCACTCGCTCTCACTATTATTCATTTTCTTTTTTATTTTATTTTATTAGATTTTATTTTATTTTTATTACTTTTCGTTTCTTCTTCTTCTTCTTATCGTATCCAATAATAATAATAATAATAATTATTATTATTATATCGTTAATTCATACACAATTCACGTACAAGAAACTTTTTTTTTCCAACAAATACGGTTATACGAATATAATTGGTCTTTATAAATTTTTTTGTTCTTTTTGTTAACACAAAAAAAAAATTCAATTGTTCTACCACAAATGTATTTAATAAAATAACAAGAAGAAACGTAGGATATTGTGCGATCGAGTATGACACGTGTAAAAAAAAAAAAAAAAAAAGAAATAAAATAAAATAAATTTATTGTACGTCGTGTGAGAGGGAATCAACGCTAACCGTTTGTGAACGGATGTTATATATAATCATGAATTTATTTAAATATTAATAAAATATAGAGGAATAATGAGAGAGACTCTTTTTTTTTTTTTTTGTTTTTTTGTGAAAAACTACTAAATCGTCGAGCATCATCGTTGTGTGTTTTACGTTTTAATTAAAATTATTCTTTCAAATGTTACTACAACAACAGAAATTGTACGAAATAATAAGATGGTTTGTATTTTTGTTTTTAAAAAAAAAAAAAAAGGATAAAGAAATGTAAAAACACAGGGGTAGAATATTCTCAACGAATCATTTATAATATACAATTCTATTTCGGTGACACTTGTGGACTCTGAAACGAGTAAGCGAGAACGCGTAAACCAAAAAAGGAATAATTAACGTCACTCTAAAGCAAACGAGCGGTTACTATTCGTAACTTGACTCACGAGATACCTATTCTGCGAATAATTAATTAATCTTCTAATTAGTCGACGAATTATTAATTGCAGAATATATATGTATATATATACATATATATGTTATTTTACATACGTCGCGTACGTATGTTTGTTATAACCAATCCTCAAATATGAATTATTATTATTTATTACTGTCGGTCGCGAACGAATAATCAAGAAAATAATCAAACGGAAAAATCAAAAAAAGAAAAAAAACCCTTCGAGGCTTTGAATTTTTTCCTTCAATATTTGAGATTTACAAATAATTATTTATGATCAAATTAAAAAAAAAAAGGAAATAATCAAACGTCATTCGAAAGTAACGGCATAGAATAATTATAATAATAATAATATTTACGCGTGAAAACGTGTTACAGGAAATAATATGTAAAATTAAATCGAACTTTGTCACGCGAGTTTGTTAAAAATCTATAAATGGAAAAAGAAAATAATTATATTTCTTACGATATACGCGCGAGAGAGAGAAAGTAACAAAAATGAGATGGCCAGTGAAATATTTCGTGAAAAACAGAATAAAAATTTGGTAGATAAATTTTATTTATTTTTTTTTTTTTATTTCTAAACGCGAACCAACGATAAAAGTTTATAAGAACGCGTGACGATGAAATAGAAAAACGAAGTAATAAATGAGAGATATAAAAAGATAATACAGATTAAAGAAGAAGAAAAAAAATAGAATAAAAGTATTTCTATCTAAAGAAATTCACAGAAAAGTCGTAGACACGAGAAAGTTAACTCGGTCAAGTTCGTCGATTAGTTTAGTCGAAAAAGTAAGAGATAAAATCCCGTAGTAGTACCTTTAGCCGTCTCTTTAATTGCTTCTGATACGTTGAAAAAGGTTAGAACGTAATCCTCGTCGTTTCTTATCGTCAGACATCGACCTTAATCGTTCCTTTACTATAAAAGTCATTACTTTTTTTTTCTCGAAAAAATGCACTCTTGAAAAAAAAAAAAAAAAGAAAATACGAACTTAAACGTGCAATTTGCAGTAACCTATGATGATAATATTCATCCTGCATACATTTACTCACACATTTCTAAGCTAATATTTTCTCGTATACAATATAACATATATATATATAAAAATAATTAACTTTTTTAAATAATAGAAAAATCAATATTTTGCATTGAGGAAGATTATTAATTTGTTCGAAGTTAATTAAAACAAATAAAGAAGATTGGACATTCGTTCTAACGACGAATTAGCCGAAATTCCCTCAAAGACGAAAACGAATTATGATTGTACGATATTAAAAAACAAAAACAAAAAATTACGACAAAATATTGGGACAAAGATTAATTAACGTACGATTAAAAAACACGTTCCAACAACGCACGTGTGTGTTCACACATATATACATAAATATATTATTATTATTATTATTATTATCATTATTATTATTATTATTATTAATTTCTTTTGGTTTTCGTTTATGAATTATTGAATTTCAAGCACCGAGCGTATGTAATTTGTGAACGCATCTACGAGCATCCTCCGAAAGGGTCTCCTCCACTTGACCAAGCTATATATCACTGAATTTGTCACATTGGTTTTTATTTTAGCAAACGTGTGATTTCTCCATCGTTAATTCACTCTCTCTCTCTCTCTCTCTCTCTCTTTCTCGAATAAAAAAAAAAGGGAAATCAATGAATACAATCGAAGATAAAATAATGATTCGTCCAATTGATTAAAATAAAATATAACAATACGAAAAAATGTAAAATGAGAAATCACGCGTTAAAATGCTAGAACAGAAAAACCACGACGCACGCGCACGATTACAAAGTGTCTTGTACATAAATACATACATATATATATACATATATATATATNTAAACACACATACATAATTACATACACTCCTTCCACACACAACACAACACACATTTATATATATAAACATATATATACAATATATATTATATCAAAAATATCGTATATATAAATATATGTGTATATATGTGTATGTATTAAATATATATAAAAAAAGAACAATTGAAAAAAACAATGAAATCCGGTGATTAAACACCGGATCCGATCCGATCATGCGATCGAGAACCTAGAAAGCGTGTGCTGTATTTTTGAACACCATCACTTGCCACTATATATATATATATAATCACTTATATACCATCACTTACCAAACCCCCATAAGGCCTCCGACATATAGCACTGAACCTCGTGTCCGGGGACGTTGCACGGCCGACGACGGTCAGCCCCGAAGGAGGCTGATTCCAGAAATTCGACTCTATGGCTGTTGAATTTATTATAAAAGGTCCAAATGAATTTAAACAAAAACAACAAAAAAGAAAAAAAAAAAAGAAATAAAACGCATTGTGCATTTTTAGCGATGATAAAAGCGCAGCATGATATATATTTATATTCATATATATTACTTGAACAACTTTTTTTTTTCTTTTTTTTTTTTTTACAAACGTACAAGAACGAACCGAAATTTTGCGAGAATTTCTAAAATTTTATACGTTAAACGTAAGAACGAACGAGATAAACACGTGCGTCACCGACAACGATCACTTAAAAACTATTTTCTTTCATTCGGGATAATTCTCTAACGACCTTTGTTTATACAATATCTATATATATATGTATTTGTATATATATATGAGTATCTTCGTTCGTTCCTCTCTGTCACCGTCTGTGTTTACGTTTCTTTTTATTCTTATACTTT